ACATTGACTCTATGTCCCATCTAAACCTAACATTTAATTGTTGTGGCTCAGTGCTGTGAAACTGGGAATTGTAGTTTGTTGTGGCATCAGAGTTCTCTGACAGAGAAGGCTAAAGGTCTTACAAAACTACAATTCCCAGATTTCTGTAGCATTGAGCCATGGCGGTTAAAGTGGTTTCATCCTGGATTATTTCTACAGTGTGTGACTGTAAAACAATATTTTATGTATTATGTATGTGAGATGTTAAATCCAATCTTGTGGCTAAATCCTGAAACTAAGGTCCAAAACACACTGCAGAAATAATCCAGTTTGACACCACTTTAACTGCCCTGGCTCAATGCTAGGGAATTCTGGGAACTGAGACATTTAACCTTTTCTGTCAGAGATCTCTGGTGCCATAATAAACTATAGTTCCCAGGATTCCCTATGACTGAGCCAAGGCAGTTAAAGGAGTCTCAAACTGGAATAATTCTGCAGTGTATTTTGGACCTAAGTCTACACTTGTTTGCCCAGGTATGTATTTGTGTGTATGTTCAATGAACTATGGAGGAGAATATAAAATACAATATTAGAATGCAATACTAAAATACAGTACTAAAAATGCAATGCCAAAATACAATAGTAAACTACAGGCCTTTGCAGACTGCTAGAAATAGTGCAAATTGAGTCCACTTTAACTTCCCTGGCTCAGTGCTAGGGAATCATGGGAATTGTATATTTTTCTGAGACATTGAGCCTTCTCTGTCAGAGAGCTCTGGTGCTACAATAAACTACAGTTCCCATGATTCCCTAGCACTGAGCCAGGGCAGTTAAAGTGATCTCAAGCTGGATTATTTCTGGAAGTCTGCAAAAGCCCTACAATGCAAAAAACAAAACAAAAAAACTACACACAGAAACACAAAATACAGAATAAAACAGGTAATCTATTGTAGTAAAAATATAGAGCATTAATCTCAAATTCCAAAACTTTTAGAAAACAAAAAAAAGTTTTCAATTTGGATTTAAAATTCTTGTACCTGGGAACTATTTTTTTTAATTACCCATTATGCTTTGCACTTTTGTCATTTCATGATTCAGCTATGACCATAACAAAGTCGATTGGGAGGATTGCTTTCTTATGCACATTAGCAAGTGGCTGAGCTGGAACACCTAGCGTTCTACACCATGAGATACACTGGCTGGGGCTGATGGGAATGGCAGTCCAGCCACATCCAGTGAGCTCCAAGCAGCTCACCTTTGTCTTAATGGATTCAGCAGGAGATCCCTGAGAGATGTCCTTCCTGCTGAACTATCCTTGATTTCTCCAACTAGAGATGCATCCACAACAAACTATAATTTCTGGAATCCCATAGCATTGAGCCATGGCAGTTAAAGTGGTGCCAAAGTGGATTATTTCTGCAGTCCTAGGTTGTGGAGTCGTGGTCACCCATCTGAGAAAGTGAGCTAAAGTTCACAGAGCTTGTCCCATAAGAAATGCATTACTCTTTTAGGTACCGCAGATCTGTCTGTCGTTTTTCCCTAATGTGATGAACTCATATGGATTTATTGTGGCAGGGCCAACAAGCCATGGGAACTTGGTTGTCATCAAGTCATTTCCAACTTGAGCCTACCATGGGGTTTCTTGGCAAGATTTGTTCAGAGGAACACCATTGCCATTCCCTGAGGCTGAGAGAGTGTGGCTTTCCTGAGGTCACCCAGTGGGTTTCGTGGCCAAGCAGGGAATCAAACCTTGGTCTCCAGAATCGGAGTCCAATGCTCAAACCACTGTGCCACGCTGGCTCTCGCCATGTGAAGTAGCCTTCTGAAATGGTTACCATGTTTTTCTCTTGACAGGAATGTGGAGCAGATTGTGCCAAATTCCAGAAGAGTGAACTGGAACACAAATTCAATAGGAGAGCATTGGAGAGGCCATACACATCCAAACACTCTTGGGGGAAAACCTATGGAGAACACAAGCGCCACTTGGAGTTCAGTCACGACCAGTACCGGGAGCTGCAGCGCTACGCAAAGGAGATTGGCATCTTCTTTACTGCCTCAGGCATGGATGAAGTAAGGGAGATGGAGACTGGAGCCTTCAGGTTTTGTTTTTTACAAGAAACATCCACTTTTGATGTCACAAATAGCCTCATGGGCAGACTGTTCTTTGAAGTACATATCAAGAACCCCCTCCCCAACCTCTAGGCATCTCGAAACACTTGCTAACTAAGGGCCTTTGCAGACTACCAGAAATAGTGCAAATTGAGTCCACTTTTAGGGTTAGGGTTAGTGCTAGGGAATAATGGAAATTGTTTTTTTCCTGAGACATTGAGCCTTCTCTGTCAGAGAGCTCTGGTGCCACAATAAAATACAGTTCCCATGATTCCCTAACCTTAACCCTAACCCTTAAAGTGGACTCAATTTGCATTATTTCTAGCAGTCTGCAAAGGCCCTAAGGCTGTGTCTCCACTGCAGAAATAATCCATTCATATTTTTATCCAGCAGGGTCATGCATGCCAGGTCTTTCCTTTCGGGATGCTAATGAGACACTGCATGGCATGAAGGCTGCAACCACACGGCAGACATAATCCAGTTTGACACCACTGTAACTACCATGGCTCACTGCTATGGAATCTTGGGATTTGTAGTTGTTGTAGCCACAGAGCTCCCTGACAGAGAAGGCTAAACATCTCAGAAGACTACAGGTCCTAGAATTCCGCAGGGCTGAGCCATAGCAATTAAAGTGACGTCAAACTGGATTATGTCTGCCGTGTGGTTGCAGTCTAAGTAAACATTTGCTTCCTCAAGAGCATGGCTGCTGTCATTTGGTTTTCTTCATGTTCTAGCTTGCCAGCACTGAAAAGGAGAGAAGCTGAAGTCCTGCCAGCTGATACTCTTGGAAATGGATGGAGAACTTCCATATGGGGGTCCTCTCAAGATAATTGTCTTGTGTTATATTTTACAATTGAAAAAAGAGTGGGTATGAGTGGAGAAGCTGTCATTGCCAGCATATTGATGCATTTTAGCGTGGCTTACACACTCACTCCATTTCACAGAAGTGGCAGAATGAAAACCAGTGTTTCGAACCTATCCTTGATTCTATTACCAACATAATGAAAAATGTGTTAGCACTGACAATGAGCTTGTGCATACAGGTTGAGTCTCCCTTAACCTGAATTCCAAAATATTCCAAAAACCCAGACTTTTTTCATGGGTGGCTGAGATAATGACACCTTTACTTTATAGTGGTTCAGTGTACACAAATGTGGTTTCATGCATGTTGTTTTATATATATATATTAAACAGATAGGGTGTCAGAATGCAGCCTTGCATGACCCTTTGCCAATTGGAAACCATTCAATTTTTCCATGTTCTGTTCTAAAGGCTGCCTCTTGTCCTAAGTACAGATTTCTCATCCAGATTATCAGATGTATTGGCACTCCCATGTCTTTAAGGGCATTCCATAGCCTTTCATGATCTATGCAGTCAAAGGCTCTATAATAATTTCATGCATGACGTTTTAAAAATATTGTGTAAAATTACCTTCAGGCTTTGTGTACAAGGTATATATGCGACATAAATGAAAATTATGTTCAGACTTGGGTTCCATCTCCAAGATACCTTATTATGTACATATATGCCAGTACAAGTATTCCAAAATCCAATAAATAAATAAATCCAAAATATAAAACACCTCTAACCTCAGGCATTTCAGATAAGAAAGAATCAATCTGTATCTGTATTTGGAATATCTTGCACTTGTAGTCTTTTTGTCTTTGTTTTAATACTCATCTCTGCTGTCCAGTGCCTCACACTGTATCAGAGTTTTCAAAGTCAAATGGGCTGAATCATACACTTTGGAATGTATATACAGTAGTGAATTGTCTGTAAAATCTTGCATTCAGTTTTTATTGTTGTTGCTAATTCAAAGTAATAGAGCAGGGACAGGCAACCTTTTTCAGACGTGGGCCGGTCTGCCATCGCCCAGGTCTCGGCTGGGCCGAGGGGGGGGGAATGGCGGTGCGCGCGTGCACCCTCCTCCTCCGCGCACAACCCCCCGTGCACACTGCCGCGGCCTCCGCCGTAGCGCACGCAGCTGCAGCCGCCACGGCACATGTCGCAGCCGCCATTTTGGAAATCAAAATGGTGGTTGCGATGCATTTACACATGCGCAAGAGTACTGCGCATGTGCAAACGCGTCGCGACTGCCATTTTGACTTCCACAATGGCAATCGCCGTGAGCATCCGAAAACGTGCTCAAACAGCGGCTCGCAGCGAAGGCGGCAACCTTTGGCCTGTGCCGGTAAGTCCAGGGCCTGGGGCCTTAACCCCGGGCCATAGGTTGCCGGTGCCTTTAACAGAGACTCAACAGGGCTATTTGACTTAACATCTAGAGAACAAAATGTTTAGTTTTCAAAAGAGGTACTATAGTTGAAATGAAACTATGAGGGGTTGCAGACTGCCAGAAATAGTGCAAATTGAGTCCACTTTTAGGGTTAGGGTTAGTGCTAGGGAATCATGGGAATTTTTTTTTTCTGAGACATTGAGCCTTCTCTGTCAGAGAGCTCTGGTGCCACAATAAAATACAGTTCCCATGATTCCCTAACCCTAACCCTAAAAGTGGACTCAATTTGCACTATTTCTGGCAGTCTGCAACCCCCCTATATTGGGGGAGGTGGGAATTAATAAGATGTGAGTTTGTGATTTAAGTGTTACATTCAAATTGAAATAATATTTATTGAAATATGTACAAATATTTCAAAATATTTTATAGCACACTTTTCTCATCCATTATTTATCATTTTGGGTGGAGGGGTAGAGGAAGGTATTACCTTTGGAGGTGAAGATCTGACTTTGGAAACCCCTTCGCATCCACCATCAAAACTTCTTGAGCCTTTCAGTCACCAACCTGGAGCTCTGATCTGATGGAGGCAGAAAAGGGAGTATTGTGTTGGTCAGGGGTAGGCAACCTTTCCCCTTTAAGGGCCGAGGGACTTCAGCTCCCAGAAGCCTCAGCCATGTTGGCCAATAGTCCCATGTTGGACAATAGCTCCTGGGATTCTGGGAGCTGAAGTCCCTCGGCCCTTAAAGGGGAAAGGTTGCCTACCCCTGGTGTTGGTACATAGGGGAATTTAGGGGGAAGGCTTGCATCTCTGGGATTCAGTGCCTTCCCATCACAATAACTACAGACTTGCTCCCACCTAATAAACTCCCCCTTCCCTTCCCCTTTGTATATGGCAGATCTTTGCCTTCAGTTTCCCGCTCCACACTAGGATTTCTCTTCTCCCATACTAAATATATGAAAAATGTTGTGTCTAGACATGTACAGTGGGTCCTTGTTATCTGCTGGGATTTAGTTCCAGGATCCCCCGTGGATAACAAAATCAGTGGATGCTCGAGTCCCATTAAATATAATGACATAGCATAATTATGTCCCTTATATAAAATGGAAAATCACGGTTTGCTATTTGGAATTTATACTTTTTTTGGGGGGGGGGGTAGAATATTTTCAAGCCATGGATGCTTGAATCTGTAGATTAAAAATCCATGGTGACTGTATGTGTCCAAGGGATAGTTATCTGGAAAACACTGATTTCAGATATGAGTAATATTGTTTCAATTATCTAGTTCCTGTTCATTTTATTTATCCTGTTACTTTGCAAAACTAATTCTGTGAAACAATGTATTTTGTTCCTAAACAGTAGAACATAGTTCATTCCAATATTATGCATCAACAGTGAGCTTTTAAAGTCCCTCCTTCCCAGTGTGAACGCCAACCCTCAGGGGCACATGATTCCCACTCCTGGCTTACCTGATTTGTGGAATGTGCTTATTATTTATTTTATTTGTGTTATTCATTTAAATCCCATCTTCAGTAATGGGATCAAAGTGACGAACAACATATTTAAATACAATACAAATTAAAAGCTATAAACAGTCATTAATAAAAGTATAAATCAGCGACAGGCAACCTTTTTCAGACCTGGGCCGGTCTGCCGTCGCCCAGGTCTCAGCTGGGCCGAGGGGGGGGGAATGGCGGCGCGCATGCATGCGTGCGCACCCTCCGCCGCGCGCAACCCCCCCGTGCACGCGGCTGCTGCTGTAGCGCATGCGGCTCCAGCCACCACGGCACATGTCGCAGCTGCCGTTTTGGAAGTTAAAATGGCGGTCGCACCGCGTTTGCGCATGCGCAAGAGTACTGCGCATGCACAAACGCATCGTGACCGCCATTTTAACTTCCAAAATGGCAATCGCCACGAGCGCGGCTGAAAACGCGCTCCGACGGCGGCAAGCAGCAGCGGCAAGCGGCGGTGGCGACGGCAGCAACCTCCGGCCTGGGCCGGTAAGTATGGGGCCCAGGGCCTTAACCGGCCCCTGGGCCGTAGGTTGCCAGTCCCTGATATAAATAGAAGAGGTATTTTTAAAAAGATGAAACAATTTATAAAGTTAAAACAATAAACATGAAAAAACATATGTAGTGCCCTTTGCCTCTCCATATCCTCTGACTGGGACCCTAAGTTAGTACACATATTGCTTTTTCAAGATTTTTTTAAGCCTATGGATTTTGCTCATAAACAATCCTGTCAGATCCAGAGTCAACTTTCTTGCTATTGTGTGTCATTCTTGTTTTCTGTGCACATTGCTTCCATTTGTGTTCCCTAGCTATGGCCATATCCTTTAATTGTGTTAACTAGTTTGAGGATTAGGGGCCGATTCCTTCAGTGTGGGTTGCTGGTAAGTGAATTGTTAATTTGGGATTTTAGTAAAAAAAAAAAAAAACATCTTTTCACAGATGGCTGTAG